GGGCCAAAAAAAAAATAAATAACTTAAAAAAAGTTAAAAAAAATATATTCAAAAAAATATAGACTCCTTTCTTTTTGAGGTTATCGATTCATGGAAAGAATAATGTATGCAACTACTTGATTTGTGTGAATCTAGGCCTATCACACGTAATAGGTCTGTTTTACTGTAATAGACCAGCAGCAAAAAGAAAGAAAGAAAGAAAAAACTAAAAAAAAATTGATTTAGCCAGTAGTGTTTTGCAATGGATGACAACTATGTTAAAAATGGTCCTTAGCATATGCTCTTCGAATTTAAGGGGGGTTGTCACATTTTGTAAATACCCGAACATGCAAAATAGTTAGGTCATAAGGTATATTAGGGTCCTTATATTGAATAAAATATGGAGTTTTGAGTAAATTCAAGGTAGTTTTTGTAGCAATGAATATTATAAACAATTTAAGGGGGCTGTCACATTTTAAAATTACCCGAACATTCAAATTAGGTAAGTCTACGGTAATAGGGTAATTTTTTTTAATGAAAAAAAACCCATAGGCTCTGTTGAATAAAATATAGGGTTTTAAGTAAATTCAATGTAGCTTTTAGTAGATATGAATATTATAAGCAATTAAAACTAAGTCCAATTACTGGAGTGAAGATGGCAGATTCATATCTAAAAACTTTGCAAAAAGCTGATTTCTTAACGCAAAGATAATGAAGAAATTCATTACGTCGATTTTACCAGTCTCTATCCGTACTGTAAGAAATACGGAACATATCCTGTTGACCACCCCGAGATTTTGGCATCCAAAAACATGTCAACGGATATAAAATGATTATTTCGGCCTAATTAAATGTACGATAGAACCGCCCAAAAAATTACTCCATCCTGTCCTTCCTTACAGGAACAAATGGAAAACTTACGTTTCCATTATGCCGTACCTGCGTTGAAAACCAATGTCAAGTGTCATGTACGCACACTACTGACGAAAGAGCTTTGGACGGTACTTGGGTTACCACCGAAGTTGCGAAAGCAGTAGAGATGGGGTATAACCTTATCAAAGTACATGTAGCTTGGCACTTCCACCAAAATAGCGAATATGACTCTACTAACCCATCATCAGGTTTATTTTCCGACTATATTAACACTTTCCTAAAATTAAAACAAGAAGCTTCAGGGTGGCCTGAATGGTGTGTTTCTGACGCCGACAAACAGAAATACATCATTCAGTATGAAGAAAACGAGGGTATAAAGTTAAATCCCGAACAAATTGCTTATAATCCTGGATTACGATCCCTCGCCAAACTTATGTTGAATTCTTTTTGGGGAAACTTTGGCCAAATAGAAAATCAAACTAAAACCAAATTTAGCAGTGACCCTAACGAAGTGTATGATTTACTTTCCAATCCTGAAGTTATTGTTAACGATATTAACATTATTAACGATAATCTAGCAGAAGTAAAGTATGTGAGCGATGAACAGTCAGTAACTGTAAACAGAAAAGTAAACGTTGTCATCGCTGCATTTACGACAGCTACTGCTAGATTAAAACTATACGAATTATTACATAATTTACAGGATCGTGTATTGTATTACGATACAGATTCTTGCGTTTTTATTACTAACCGAACTGACCCTGGTGAATGGCAACCTAATATCGGTGATTATCTAGGTGAATTAACAAACGAAATTAATCCAAAAGATGGCCAGTACATTACATGTTTTGCATCGGGAGGTCCGAAAAATTATGTGTATAAATTAGATTCAGGAAAGACGGTTTGCAAAGTAAAAGGTTTTACTTTAAAGTTTAAAAATGCACCAAAAAATAATTTTGAAACAGTTAGTTCTATGGTTAGGGGTATTGGACCAGAGAAAATAACAACAACCGAGTCTAATCGCATAACGCAAAAACCAAAATCACGAAAAATCGTAAACGAATCAACCATTAAGGATTATAGAATTGTGTACGATAAAAGAATTATAGTCGAAAACTACAATACTGTTCCTTATGGTTATGTTTGGTGAACATTTTCTTTTCATTTTTAATTATTAAATTAGTTTGTAAATTCCTGAATCTAATTTATATAATTTATGTTATACTTTTTTTATTTAACGTGTGAAATGTAATTTTTGTAAATAAGAGAATATTTTATTTATTTAAGGTAAACATCGAGTACCTTTCTATATTATAAATAAGAGAATTTTTTTTAATATTGAAATTGTAAATATTTTTTTTACGTTATATTAATGTTATCTTGTGCAATATTGTAAATAAGAGAATATTTTATTTATTTAAGGTAAACATCGAGTACCTTTCTATATATACTGTAAATAAGAGAATATATATATATATATATTTCTATTTTATATTGAAATTTTTTTTTCTTTTACGTTAAATTAATGTTATCCTGTGCAATATTGTAAATAAGAGAATATTTTATGTATATTTTATTACTTTTCGTGGGAAAAATGTATCTTGCTTGCTATTGAAAATAATATACCGTTTCCTTTTCATTTATTTTCGTTCAAATGTAGAGCGTAGTACGTAATCTATTTTTCTACTATAAAAAGATTAGTTTTCAACTTAATAAGTCATGGTAATCATGGCAACCCCTCTGGTAACACCTTTTACGGGTGTCATTAGTGGTCTAACCGGATCGGGTAAATCCGTATTTGTAAAAAAAAAAAACTTATACAAAACGAGTATTTTGATAAACCCTTTGACAATATAACATGGTGTTACGGTGAATATCAACAATTGTTTACAGAATTACGTAAAACTATTCCAAATATAAGTTTTATAGAGGGTGTACTCGTAGAAACTATAGATGCATTTGATTCCGATAGAAATCACCTGGTAATCATCGATGATTTAATGACGGAATGTAGTCTGGATAAACGTGTAGTAAACTTATTTACTAAGGGATCTCATCACAGGAACATTTTGGTGATTTTCATCATGCAGAATTTTTTCTATGGATCAAAAGAAATTCGTACCATAACTTTAAACGCTTACTATATTGAACTATTCAAGAACCCTAGAGATAAGTCACAAATAATGAATCTATCGGAACAAATGTATCCGGGTAAGGGGCGTTTCTTACAAGAAGCATTTGCAGACGCAACACGTGAATCATACGGTTACTTATTCATTGATCTTAAACCGTATACATCTGAAGAAATGAGAGTCCGTACAAATATATTTTCAACAAATAATCATTATGCATATGTACCAAAAGTATAAATAAACAATGTTAAATTAAATTCGATTCATTCATACGATCATCAACAGCATGTCGAAACGTGTAAAGAAAAACGCTGAGACCTTACGGTTTTTAGCTCATTGTACACCTAAGCAGAGAAAACTTCTCCTAGAGAACGCCGATAAGGAGTTGGAACGACAATCTGTGAGTGCACAATGAATGTACCTATAATCACAGCTCATAAGAAGAAATTGTCGAGGTACAATTAACAACACTTACGAAATATAGCCGACAAGAAAAAGTCTTCGCTGAAAAGAAAAGAAATACTAATTCAAAAAGAAGGATTTCTCGGTCTTATTCTAAAACCCGTTTTACAAACCCTTGGTAGTATATTGCTGAAATAATGGAGCATACTAAGAAGATGGTTGTAGTGCCTCAATAACTGGCCAA